TAAGATTTATGCTCTCTAGTCATCTGTTTTGCTGTGTCTCTCTAAATTCCGAGCACCAATCCTTCTGCCCGTCTGGTAATCTTTTGAACCCCCTCACATAGACACTCTGTAAATATTGTTGATTCGTCTTTTACTGTGTTTGTAAATGTTATAGTTTTAGACACCAGTGTGAACATTCTGTTGTGATGTTCTTAAACCAGCAAACTTATTTATAGGTAGAGGAAAAATATTGTCTTATTTTGTTATTAAATCCCACCTGTTAGTTTAGTCTGTGCACTGTGCCACCACTGACAACCTTCCCTTCACTGTGCTCATGCACCTTCCCTTCACTGTGCCACCTTCAACTTCCCTTCACTGTGCCACACGAAAACCCTTTTCCCTTCACTGTCCCACCTGACAACCTTCCCTTCACTGTGCCACCACTGACAACTTCCCTTCCTGTGCCACCATGACAACCTTTCCCCTTCACTGTGCCACCACTGACAACCTTCCCTTCACTGTGCCACCACTGACAACCTTCCCTTCACTGTGCCACCACTGACAACCTTCCCTTCACTGTGCCACCACTGACAACCTTCCTTCACTGTGCACACTGTTCAACCTTCCTTCACTGTGCCACCATGTCAACCTTCCTTCACGTGCCACACTGTAAACCTTCCCTTCACTGTGCACATGACAACCTCTTTTCACTGTGCCACCACTGACAACCTTCCCTTCACTGTGCACCATGACAACTTCCTTCACTGTGCCACCACTGTAACCTTCCTTCACTGTGACCACCACTGTAAACCCTTCTCTTCACTGTGCCACCACTGACAACCTTCCCTTCACTGTGCCACCATGACAAACTTCTCTTCACTGTGCCACCACTGACAACTTCCTTCACTGTGGCCACCACTGACAACCTTCCCTTCACTGTGCCACCACTGACAACCTTCCCTTCACTGTGCACCACTGACAACCTTCCCTTCACTGTGCCGCACTGACAACCTTCCCTTCACTGTGCCACCACTGACAACCTTCCCTTCACTGTGCCACCACTGTCAACCTTCCCTTCACTGTGCCACCACTGACAACCTTCCCTTCACTGTGCCACCACTGACAACCTTCCCTTCACTGTGCCACCACTGACAACCTTCCCTTCACTGTGCCACCACTGACAACCTTCCCTTCACTGTCCCACCACTGACAACCTTCCCTTCACTGTGCCACCACTGACAACCTTCCTTCACTGTGCCACCACTGACAACCTTCCCTTCACTGTGCCACCACTGACAACCTTCCCTTCACTGTGCCACCACTGACAACCTTCCCTTCACTGTGCCACCACTGACAACCTTCCCTTCACTGTGCCACCACTGACAACCTTCCCTTCACTGTGCCACCACTGACAACCTTCCCTTCACTGTGCCACCACTGACAACCTTCCCTTCACTGTGCCACCACTGACAACCTTCCCTTCACTGTGCCACCACTGACAACCTTCCCTTCACTGTGCCACCACTGACAACCTTCCCTTCACTGTGCCACCACTAACAACCTTCCCTTCACTGTGCCCACTGACAACCTTCCCTTCACTGTGCCACACTGACAACCTTCCCCTTCACTGTGCCACCACTGACAACCTTCCCTTCACTGTGCCACCACTGACAACCTTCCCTTCACTGTGCCACCACTGACAACCTTCCCTTCACTGTGCCCCCACTGACAACCTTCCCTTCACTGTGCCACCACTGACAACCTTCCCTTCACTGTGCCACCACTGACAACCTTCCCTTCACTGTGCCACCACTGACAACCTTCCCTTCACTGTGCCACCACTGACAACCTTCCCTTCACTGTGCCACCACTGACAACCTTCCCTTCACTGTGCCACCACTGACAACCTTCCTTCACTGTGCCACCACTGACAACCTTCCCTTCACTGTGCCACCACTGACAACCTTCCCTTCACTGTGCCACCACTGACAACCTCCCTTCACTGTGCCACCACTGACAACCTTCCCTTCACTGTGCCACCACTGACAACCTCCCCTTCACTGTGCCACCACTGACAACCTCCCCTTCACTGTGCCACCACTGACAACCTTCCCTTCACTGTGCCACCACTGACAACCTTCCCTTCACTGTGCCACCATGACAACCTTCCCTTCACTGTGCCCCCACTGACAACCTTCCCTTCACTGTGCCACCACTGACAACCTTCCCTTCACTGTGCCACCACTGACAACCTTCCCTTCACTGTGCCGCCACTGACAACCTTCCCTTCACTGTGCCGCCACTGACAACCTTCCCTTCACTGTGCCACCACTGACAACCTTCCCTTCACTGTGCCGCCACTGACAACCTTCCCTTCACTGTGCCGCCACTGACAACCTTCCCTTCACTGTGCCACCACTGACAACCTTCCCTTCACTGTGCCACCACTGACAACCTTCCCTTCACTGTGCCACCACTGACAACCTTCCCTTCACTGTGCCACCACTGACAACCTTCCCTTCACTGTGCCACCACTGACAACCTTCCCTTCACTGTGCCACCACTGACAACCTTCCCTTCACTGTGCCACCACTGACAACCTTCCCTTCACTGTGCCACCACTGACAACCTTCCCTTCACTGTGCCACCACTGACAACTTCCCTTCACTGTGCCACCACTGACAACCTTCCCTTCACTGTGCCACACTGACAACCTTCCCTTCACAGTGCCACCACTGACAACCTTCCCTTCACTGTGCCACCACTGACAACCTTCCCTTCACTGTGCCACCACTGACAACCTTCCCTTCACTGTGCCACCACTGACAACCTTCCCTTCACTGTGCCACCACTGACAACCTTCCCTTCACTGTGCCACCACTGACAACCTTCCCTTCACTGTGCCACCACTGACAACCTTCCCTTCACTGTGCCACCACTGACAACGTCCCTTCACTGTGCCACCACTGACAACCTTCCCTTCACTGTGCCACCACTGACAACCTCCCTTCACTGTGCACCACTGACAACCTCCCCTTCACTGTGCCACCACTGACAACCTCCCTTCACTGTGCCACCACTGACAACCTTCCCTTCACTGTGCCACCACTGACAACCTTCCCTTCACTGTGCCCCACTGACAACCTTCCTTCACTGTGCCACCACTGACAACCTTCCCTTCACTGTGCCACCACTGACAACCTTCCCTTCACTGTGCCGCCACTGACAACCTTCCCTTCACTGTGCCACCACTGACAACCTTCCCTTCACTGTGCCACCACTGACAACCTTCCCTTCACTGTGCCGCCACTGACAACCTTCCCTTCACTGTGCCGCCACTGACAACCTTCCCTTCACTGTGCCACCACTGACAACCTTCCCTTCACTGTGCCACCACTGACAACCTTCCCTTCACTGTGCCACCACTGACAACCTTCCCTTCACTGTGCCACCACTGACAACCTTCCCTTCACTGTGCCACCACTGACAACCTTCCCTTCACTGTGCCACCACTGACAACCTTCCTTCACTGTGCCACCACTGACAACCTTCTCTTCACTGTGCCACCACTGACAACCTTCCCTTCACTGTGCCACCACTGACACCCTCTCCCTTCACTGTGCCACCACTGGCATCCTTCCCTTCACTGTGCCACCACTGACAACCCTGCCTTCACAGTGCCACCACTGACAACCTTCCCTTCACTGTGCCACCACTGACAACCTTCCCTTCACTGTGCCACCACTGACAACCTTGCCTTCACAGTGCCACCACTGACAATCCTTCCTTCACTGTGCCACCACTGACAACCTTCCCTTCACTGTGCCACCACTGACAACCTCCCTTCACTGTGCCCCACTGACAATTCCTTATGTGCCACCACTGACAACCTTCCCTTCACGTGCCACCACTGACAACCTTCCCTTCACTGTGCCACCACTGACAACGTTCCCTTCACTGTGCCACCACTGACAACCTTCCCTTCACTGTGCCACCACTGACAACCTTCCCTTCACTGTGCCACCACTGACAACCTTCCCTTCACTGTGCCACCACTGACAACCTTCCCTTCACTGTGCCACCACTGACAACCTTCCCTTCACAGTGCCACCCTGACATCCCCTCCCTTCACAGTGTCACCACTGACAACCTTCCCTTCACAGTGCCACCACTGACATCCCCTCCCTTCACAGTGCCACCACTGGCATCCCCTCCCTTCACAGTGCCACCACTGACATCCCCTCCCTTCACAGTGTCACCACTGACAACCCTCCCTTCACAGTGTCACCACTGACAACCTTTCCTTCACAGTGCCACCACAGGCATCCCCTCCCTTCACAGTGCCACCACTGACATCCTCTCTTTTCACAGTGCCACCACTGACAACCTTCCCTTCACAGTGCCACCACTGACAACCCCTCCCTCCGCAGTGCCACCACTGACAACCTTCCCTTCACAGTGCCACCACTGACATCCCTTCCCTTCACAGTGCCACCACTGACAACCCCTCTCTCCGCAGTGCCACCACTGACATCCTTCCCTTCACAGTGCCACCCTGACATCCCCTCTCTTCACGGTGCCACCACTGACAACCTTCCCTTCACAGTGCCACCACTGACAACCCCTCCCTCCGCAGTGCCACCACTGACAACCTTCCCTTCACAGTTCCACCACTGACATCCCCTCCCTTCACAGTGTCACCACTGACAACCCCTCCCTCCGCAGTGCCACCACTGACAACCTTCCCTTCACAGTGCCACCACTGACATCCCCTCCCTTCACAGTGCCACCACTGACAACTCCTCCCCCACAGTGCCACCACTGACAACCCCTCCCTCCACAGTGCCACCACTGACAACCCCTCCCTCCACAGTGCCACCACCGACAACCCCTCCCTCCACAGTGCCACCACTGACAACCCCTCCCCCACAGTGCCACCACTGACAACCCCTCCCCCACAGTGCCACCACTGACAACCTTTCCCTCCACAGTGCCACCACTGACAGCCCCTCCCTCCACAGTGCCACCCAACATCGTAGACGAGAGCAGCAGTAGCAGCGAGATCCAGGTGCGCGAGAAGGCCAACGTGACCCTGCGCTGCGCCGCCAAGGGCAACCCTGACCCCAGGATTATGTGGAAGAGGGAAGACGGTGCCATGATCGTCACCAACACCAGAAATCCAGGTCAGGTTATTCATTTCTTCCACTGTGTAATTGTTTTTCCCACTGTGTAGTAGCATTCTCCCACGGTGTAATAGCTTTTCCCACGGTGTAATATTTTTTTCCCATGGGTGCCAAAGTTTTCCCACGGTGTCAGATTTAGTGTTTTAATCTGAAGTGCTTTACGTACTTACCCAAAGGGGAGGTTGTATCCCCCTGGGGGATACTACCGCCTCCTTAAGCTACATTCTCCTCACACACACACACACACACACACACACACACACACACACACACATTTACAGAACCAACCTATCATTTACTGTAATTTACAGTAAACACCTCGAGTAAAAGAATTTATTTGCTGCATTTACAATTATTGTAAATCAATGAGATTCAAGGATGTTGTTCCGATTTACATCAATGCATTTTTTTTTACATAATTTTACACAGATTATCCCCCTCCTCTGGATTTACATCGGTTTTTGTAAATCTTTTACGAATTTGTATATCTTAGATGAGAAGCATTTACGTATTGGAAATTTACAAAATAAAGGCCCCCTGTAAATCAACCCGGGAGAATCCCGACCACGGGGGAGACGCACACCTCCCCCACACCTCCCCCTCCTCCCCCTCCACCCCCTCCTCCCCCCTCCTCCCCCTCCTCCCCTTCCTCGCACCAGGAAAGCTAGTAGGCTTAAAGTAAGGCTGAGCCTAGGAATTTTTTTTTTTAACAGTGACGTTACCAAAAATATTTCTGTAGTTATAGAAGGGGGGTAGAGGGGGCATATGCCCCAGGCCACGATTAAGATGGCCGGCCGGGATGTACAGAGTATATAACTGGTTGCAGATATTCACCTCCGTGATAATATAAACGAGAGATAATCAACTCTTGCTGAGTATGGCGATTTCAGTGTATATCATTGAGAAATTTTCACAGAACTTTGTGTAATATATATACACATTTGTGTGTATATACACGCTCTAGGTGTTTTTTCAAGGTGTATATACAGACTCCAGGTACTATCACACCACACTAATTTTATATTATATATATTTAATATATATTTATATATATGAATTTCAAAATATAATATAATATATAATACTTCTAGGGTTTATTACCACCCCCTAGGTGTATTACACCCTCCTAGGCTTATACATAATCTAGGGGTATACAACACTCCTAGGTTTTTACCTTCTAGTTGTTATAAACATTCCTAGGTGTATATATTATATACTCCTAGGTGTATACACACACTCCTAGGTGTATATACACACTCCTAGGTGTTTATACACACTACTAGGTGTTTATACACACTTCTAGGTGTATATACACACTCCTAGGTGTATATATATACTCCTAGGTGTATACACACACTCCTAGGTGTATATACACACTCCTAAGTGCTTATACGCTGGCGAATACACCAAGCGGGGAAAAATAGGTTCTCTCCTGAGTCTCAGTTAATTAGGGCTAAGTACCTGGCTGCCGCTGGCGGCATCAACGGCCGCCGCTAGCGGCATCAGGACCTCCGCCACTCTCGCTACGTAGCGATTTATTGCGCTTTCTTGAGCCTCTCTCGATCTTGACGTACGACGGTAGAGGCTTCCCCCTGACTCCCGGCCCCCGTCCCGACGTACGGACGGTCGTACAGCGTACCCAGCATCCGTCGTGATCCTGGTCCTTTAAAAGTGAATTTAATTCGGGCTCGTGGATGACGGTATCTAATATTTCCCCGTTACTCTCTCTCTGTCTCTCTCTCGCTCTGTCTCTCTCTCGCTCTGTCTCTCCTCTCTCTCGCTCTCAAATTCAAATACAATATTTTTTTGTATTTCTATTTGTTGAAATGTTTACACACAGCACACACCACACACCACACCACCACACACAGACGCGACACGCACACACACCACACAGGTTCGACTGATGTGTTTTCGTAGTTCCATCTTCATCCATCTCATTTTAACTCGAAGTACAACCAGCACACAAACACCTCAGTCAGCCTGTGTGTGTGTGTGTGTGTGTGTGTGTGTGTGTGTGTGTGTGTGTGTGTGTGTGTGTGTGTGTATGTGTGTGTGTGTACTCACCTAATTGTGGTTGCAGGGGTCGAGACTCAGCTCCTGGCCCCGCCTCTTCACTGATCGCTACTGGGTCCTCTCTCTCTCTGCATCCTGAGCTGTATCATACCTCTTCTTAAAACTATGTATGGTTCCTGCCTCCACTACTTCACTTGCTAGGCTATTCCACTTGCTGACAACTCTATGACTGAAGAAATACTTCCTAACGTCCTTGTGACTCGTCTGAGTCTTCAGCTTCCAGTTGTGACCCCTGGTCCCTGTGTCCCCTCTCTGGAACATCCTATCTCTGTCCACCTTGTCTATTCCCCGCAGTATCTTGTATGTTGTTATCATGTCTCCCCTGACCCCTCTGTCCTCCAGTGTCGTCAGTCCGATTTCCCTTAACCTTTCCTCGTACGACATTCCCCTGAGCTCTGGGACTAGCCTTGTTGCAAACCTTTGTACTTTCTCTAACTTCTTGACGTGCTTGACCAGGTGTGGGTTCCAGACTGGTGCTGCATACTCCAGTATGGGCCTAACATACACAGTGTACAGTGTCTTGAACGATTCCTTATTTAGGTATCGGGACGCTATTCTCAGGTTTGCCAGGCGCCCGTATGCTGCAGCGGTTATTTGGTTGATGTGTGCCTCCGGAGACATGCTCGGTGTTATACTAACCCCAAGATCTTTCTCCTTGAGTGAGGTTTGCAGTCTTTTCCCACCTAGCCTATACTCTGTCTGTAGTCTTCTGTGCCCTTCCCCTATCTTCATGACTTTGCATTTGGCAGGATTAAATTCGAGAAGCCATTTGCTGGACCAGGTGTCCAGTCTGTCCAGGGCTCTTTGAAGTCCTGCCTGGTCCTCATCTGATTTAATTCTCTTCATTAACTTCACATCATCTGCAAACAGGGACACTTCTGAGTCTAACCCTTCCATCATGTCGTTCACATATACCAAAAATAGCACTGGTCCTAGGACCGACCCCTGTGGGACCCTGCTCGTCACAGGTGCCCACTGTGATACATCATTACGTACCATGACTCGTTGTTGCCTCCCTGTCAGGTATTCTCTGATCCATTGCAGTGCCCTTCCTGTTATATGCGCCTGATGCTCTAGCTTCTGCACTAATCTCTTGTGAGGAACTGTGTCAAAGGCCTTCTTGCAGTCCAAGAAGATGCAATCAACCCACCCCTCTCTCTCGTGTCTTACTTCTGTTATTTTATCATAAAACTCCAGAAGGTTTGTGACACAGGATTTGCCTTCCATGAATCCGTGCTGGTTGGCATTTATACTCTTGTTTCGTTCCAGGTGCTCCACCACTTCCTCTGATAATCTTCTCCATAACTTTGCATACTATACACGTCAATGACACAGGTCTATAGTTTAGTGCCTCTTTTCTGTCTCCTTTTTTAAAAATGGGAACTACGTTTGCCGTCTTCCATACCTCAGGTAGTTGCCCAGTTTCCAGGGACGTGTTGAAGATTGTGGTAAGTGGCACGCACAACATATCTGCTCCCTCTCTAAGGACCCACGGGGAAATGTTGTCCGGTCCTATTGCCTTTGAGGTATCGATGTCCCTTAGCAGTTTCTTCACCTCCTCCTCATCTGTATGTATGTCGTCCAACACTTGTTTGTGTATTCCTTGCTGATGTCCCCATCTGGTCTGTCCCCCCCAGAGGCCTTCCTGTCTCTACTGTAAATACTTCCTTAAATCTCGTGTTGAGCTCCTCACATACCTCTTGATCGTTTCTTGTGAGTTCTCCACCTTCTTTCCTCAGCCTTATCACCTGGTCCTTGACTGTTGTCGTTTCTGGCTCTTCTACTAATCTCCTTGTTTTCCTGGGTCCTATGCCTCCTGTACCTTTTCCATTCTCTGTTGCACTTAGTTTTTGCCTCCCTACACCTTCGGGTAAACCAAGGACTCGTTTTGGTCTTTCTATTATTTCTGTTTCCCTTGGGAACAAACCTTTCCTCTGCCTCCTTGCACTTTGTTGCCACATATTCCATCATCTCGTTTACTGATTTTCCTACCATTTCTCTGTCCCACTGAACCTCCTGCAGGAAGTTTCTCATACCTGTGTAGTCCCCCCTTTTATAGTTTGGCCTGTCCCCTTCAGTTCCTGTTACCTTCTCCACTTGTAACTCTACTATATAATCAAAACTCAGAACCACGTGATCGCTAGCTCCAAGGGGCCTCTCGTAAGTGATGTCCTCAATGTCTGAACTGCTCAGGGTGAACACAAGATCCAGTCTTGCTGGCTCATCCTCCCCTCTCTCTCTGGTAGTGTCCCTGACATGTTGATGCATGAGGTTTTCAAGTACCACATCCATCATCTTGGCTCTCCATGTTTCGGACCCCATGTGGCTCCAGGTTTTCCCAGTCGATCTCCCTGTGGTTGAAGTCGCCCATTACTAGTAACTTTGCTCTGCTCGAGTGAGCTCTTCTTGCCACCTCAGCCAGTGTGTCCACCATCACCCTGTTGTTTTCTTCGTACTCCTCTCTTGGCCTCCTGCAGTTCTGTGGTGGGTTATACATCACTCCAATGACTACTTTATGTTCTCCAGACTGAATTGTACCTACAATGTAGTCTCTTTCTCCAATCCTGTCCATTTCTTCCATTTCCTCAAATCCCCATCGGTGTTTTATGAGCAGTGCAACCCCTCCTCCCGCTCTACTCCTTCTATCTTTCCTCAGGATCTGATATCCCGTTGGGAAGATTGTGCCTGTTATTGTCTCAGCGAGTTTTGTTTCTGTGACTGCTATGATGTCTGGGGATTTCTCACTGATTCTTTCGTTCCACTCCTCATGTTTATTCGTTATTCCATCCGCGTTTGTGTACCAAACTTTCAGTTTCTTTTCTATCATTGTGTGTGTGTGTGTGTGTGCTAGTGTGTGTGTGTGCGAGTGTGTGTGTGTGTGTGAGTGTGAGTGTGTATGTGAGTGTGTGTTTGTGGGGGGGAGG